GTTTTCTTTCACTTTTTCTTGAATTTGTTTTTGAGCGCATCGTTAAATATGTGTGTCAGGCTTATGCAGCGCTATTTTTAGGGGTGGTCTTGCGCCCGGTTGCCAGCTTATGTTGCAGCATAAAGTTGCATCGATGCGGTTACTGACCGAACCGAACCCAACCGAACCGAACGCCTTCCCATTTGCTAAGGCTTCACCTTCAAGTGTTGCGTAAATTTCAGTGCATTAAGTTGTCGCAGTCGACGTCGGTATGGATGCCGGCGGCTGTTGTTGTTGTTGTTGTTGCTGTGAACACTCTAATGTTCGTACGGGTTTTAAAATAAAAACTTTAATGCCCTGCCTGTGGGTTAGTTTTGCATGGAACAGTGAGTCACTATAGGGCTTGGGCACGTACTGCGATATGAGGCACGCATTCTTATTCGTATAGCACTTGTATGTTGATGACTGGGTTACCATGGGACTGGCAAGTACTCAGAATTCCGGACCATTTAGAGAAGAAAGCCGTTTTCCAACAAAGTGTGATTTTTGTTCTAGGTACGAGTACACCTAGAGCACTTTGTCAGCACATATGCCTTATAATTAGCGGGATCTGTGACAAGTCAAAATGCCAAGTAGTGGTTTCCCCAGCAGTTTACGGTTGAGCAGATCTTGGCTGAGAGTCATGCAGGCAGAAGGACAGACAGCCTCGTTTATGTACACTGCCTTGACAGCTTGATTAAAGGGTATTTAAGTGCCCTAGATAGCTACAATTTTGTAGATGTTGTACACTCGACATTGCAAAAATAAATGAATAAAAAGAAAAAGAAAACAAAACACAACTCTTCACAGTCAGCTGCGAAATTGCCGCGTTGTACTATTATCACCAAAACACGAAATGAGCAGGCAGCTTAAATGCATATTCTCGTATATATTTATATACTACTTGTATACATACGTGTAAATAAAACGTAACTAAATGCAAGGAATTGATTTGCAATATTTATGTAAATACTACTCATGCAGAAAACATAAATATTGTTAGACTGCCTACTACCTTGTACTTGTAATCAGAACATTATAGAGATAAATCGCAAGTTAAAGCTTAAAATGAACTTGATTTAAAGGTTTCCAAACGCATTTCTGCCTATTGGAGCGAAAAGGCTTAGCACAACGCTTGATAAATAAGAAAGTAGTGTTTCAAGTTCCTTCCAAAGCTCTTTTTAATTCTCGGAGCTTGGATATTGAGTCATGTGCATGGGCAATCAAAATGCCGTCACCACTTTATCTCTAGCTTGTCGCCGGTGAGGCTGTCAAAGGTTTTGTTGTTTTTATTACCACTTTGTTTATACAGCTTACATAAAAAGGCAAAAGTACAAATATTTAGAGAGTTCAGCACTTAGCGTGTGAATTAAGAGCTGAAAATTAACAGTTTTCGTTTTCGATGGCCACCACAAGCTTCATTCCTCTCTCTCTCTCTCTCTCATTTTCTCTATGGCTCTCTGGTCAGTTTGTATTTTCGCGAAATTTAACCTTCAAAAAGTTGTTCCCAAAAAGATACGAAAATGTGTTGCGAGTCACCAAAAACTTGCCGAACTTGTTTGCTGGCGGCTACTTCTGCGTCTGCTACTCTGTCGTCTTCATCTCCATCTCCATCTGTGGTTTGGCAATTTGCATCTGCTTTGTTTTTTTTCTGTTTTTTTTTTTTTTTTTTTTTGTTAGCTATTTATTCAATCGCCACTGTTGCGATGCGCTGCGAATGTGTAAATCATCGTTTGGTTACACACTCTTTCAATCAAAGGCCATGTGCTGTGAAACAAAAAAATAATTATCATAAGTATATAGATAAATTAATGAATAATTAAAGAATAGTATGTCCTAGCCTGGCCTGGTCTGGCCTCAAGGTTGCTTGTAGGTCAGTCTCGTCAATTCTTTGTTGTAATTGGCATTTGGATTGGGTAGGGGGCCATCGATTTGTTTTGGCCCAGTTTTGATTTGAAATCGATTTTCTTGTACTCGTCCATTAAGTTTATTTTCGTAAGCGTTTTTCACACTCGTCCGCTCATAAATTTTCCGAACGCCCAACAGAAAACCGAACTGCGTCACTGACATCCCGCTAATTTCTATTGGAATACATATGTAGTATACTATATAAACCCATATGTACGATATATAGATGCTCAATAAGTTTTCGCCCTCTCTCTGTCTGTGTTTAGCTCTCCTATGATCTGACGTGGGTGTTGAGTGCGATTTTCCGCAAATTGTAAAAAAAGTAAAAAAAATAATTTTAATAATAATAATAATGAAGGGAAAGAGAAGACAAACATTATTTTAAGACAAGCCATAAACTTTGACTGCACCCCCCAGACGAGTATAGTATTCGTTTCGTTTAAAAATCAGCTCATAAATTGAGCTAAAATTTATATTGTGTAGAAATTAACTTTGAATACGGAAAAGCAATTTGCAGCTGACATCATGCAGCAGCCGTGAAGCACTAAACCGACAGTAGACAGTAGACAGTTGCTATATGCTCTCCAATGGCCGATCGGCTAATCTGCGGACTGGCAGCAACAACAAACAACCAAATAGTCATAAAGCAAATACAAAACCAAATGCATAAATTTAGGTTGCTGTTGCCGTTTCTGCTTCTTTTTCCGTTTTTAAAATATCTATAAATAATATACCATGCACTGATGTGAGCGTTTAAATGGCGAGTATATAAAACGATATCTTTCAAATGCCACAAGGCAAGATATGGACTTGACTAACGAGCTAAATACACAGTGGGATGATGGCTATGATTTCAAGATGATTGAATGGAAATGCGTGATGGAAGACACATGATACATTTTCATTTTATTTTATTTATGTCTACATTTGACCTATTAGGTGGGATTGCAATATTTATTTCATAATGGAAATTATTGATTTCAATTATTAATTTATTTCGTTTTCAAAACTGACCGAGCAACGTTTGAAATTCGATATGCAGAGCATACTTGTATTAGGAAAAATGTACCTGTATCAGTTTTAAAGTTAAATGTAACTATTATTTAACTTCATGATATCCACAAGAAAGAGGAGAATATTTTGCTGTATTTGTTTATTTACCTTTAGAAGCCTTGGAACCATTTCCGTGCAAGCGAAACAATTGTTTTAAACATCAATTTATATTTATATGCAATTTATCACGTTCACATACCCGCCTGAGTATCACCTAAAGCCTTTGTTTGATTCACTAACTACTCGTACGATAAGATAAGATTAGCACACCACACACACCCAACAATTGTAAGAGTGAAAGCCATTGAATAAATCGAGGAAACGTTACAGACATTGCGAGGAAATATGTACTATATATAAAGTACGTAGTAGTATGTACGAGTGTATAATAAGAGTGATCATGCGGAGAGTAATGGCAAGTCTGTGCTGTCATCGAAGATTGCAAATGAATTATTTTTATAGAATTGCTCACAGCGATTATGTACGTGTACTCTGCCTTTTAATCTTAACAATCATTCTTTACAGTTGATATCTTTAAAGACTTTAGCACTTTACTTGTCATTGTGAAGCGGTAAGTGCGTTTATTTATTTTTTCCAATGCTATGCTAAGGGATGGTAGGAAATAAATGCCTGTGCGACATCAAAAGAAAATAGCGCGAGTATCAATAGAATAGTATTTTTTAAATACAATATAAATATACACGAATATTGCATAGTGGCGCTCTCTAGTTGTCAATGTGTATGTCGCTTATTGCTATCACAAAAACAAAAATATACATATATATATACTATTTTTGATATTTTATTTTTATCTAAACTGTACCCTGAACGCTATTGACACCGCTGCCCAACACGCTGGGGAATATGGTAAAAAAAAGCAACAGAAACATACACAAACTTTTATATACATACATATGTATTGTATATATACATACATATAATTTTTTGTGTCTATCGAAAACTTTGCGCCATAGCTGACTTATTTAGTAGCTTATCTCTATGTGCATTGCTGCTGATTTAGGCATTGGCATAGCCTTTGATTTGGTTTGGTTTTGGTTTCGTTTTGTTTCATTTAATGGCTGTCCAACAAATGCACTCGAATGTCCACAAAGTTGCAACTCTGTGGCTGCCGCCTGTGCCTGTGCCTGTGCCCGGCAACGCCACCGCCGCCGCTGTTGCGCCGCACGCTCAATATAAACAATACAATAAAAATAGACCTGTTCGCCCTATGTACACAAACACATATAAATATATTTATTTATATACATAATTAAGTGATTTTATCTTAAGTTATTTATAAACACGCACCCACAAAACTTCTTTTAGTTTACAAGTAATGCACCTTAATTCTACCTATTTGTGCTCTCGACTTTGTCATACGCATTTATGGTTCTGTAAAACACATTCACACACACACACATTAACACGCATTTAAACACATATAACTGCAATACATTAATACTACCATAGCATCTACACACACACACACACACACACACATAATCTTCTTTGCAAGCTTGAAAGTTTTGCTTTCCAATGTTGCCGATGTCCATCTGAGCAATGCAATTGCAAACGATTGGAAAAAGTAAATCAATTTAAGCTTCTCATAAACATGAGCATGTATGGGAATCCGTATACTCATTATTTATTCATTCACTTTGCCTCACGATTACAACTAACACGATAGCTCGACTTGTATGCTTTTACCAAAATAAAATCAACATGAAAGTCCCTAAAACTCAACCAACTCTCTCACACAACTGCGACATTTAAGTTTTAATTTAAATACAGACTGCGCTCTTTTTTTTCTCCCTATCTTTATCGCTATCTCTCTCTCTTTCTCTCTCTCTCTCTCTCTCTCTCTTTCTCTCTCGCTCTGTCTTTCTCCGTCTCTATGTATCTATCAATCACCTTACTTCGGTTCTCAATCTTACTCATTTTCTCAATTCTCGATACAGCGACCCATCTGCCCAACAAACGTATGACTTTAAATGTGTATTTCTCTTTTATTCTCATTTCAGATAATGTAAAATCAGCGTATGCTCAATGAATTAAAAAAGAAAACAAAATTTTCTAAACAAAAACACATACAAGAAAAGAAAAAAACAACTCATTAAGCTTTTCCAAATACAGAGCCAAGCCTCTCAACAGCTATCTATGAACGTTGAAATCAAAATTAAACTCGAGAACTAAAGCTAAATAAATTAAAGTAAAGCGGAACTATACGAACGGCTTCAATACCCAGCAGCTATCCCCAGCTTTGTTCTTTAAGTGTAAACGCTATAAGCACACAAACAAAAGAAACTCTCATACAAACGCTACCATATATCTATAGATATACGTATTTCTATTTATATGCTATATACATATATATATACCTAATTATATAGGGTGCCGAAATTTGCTGCTAAAGCGTAAAAAGTTTAATTTTTGGTGTGAGCAAGAATTCCAGCTAAGAGCCTCAAAGTAGACAACGCGTCGGAGCTCGTCATAACGCAAAACTGTAACGCGCGTCACGTATACGTAACACTTTCTAGTCGCCAGCTAAGTTACGCCCCCATCCACAAAAATATTTATATACACACACACACAGACACACACAAGACACACGTATACTCTGTATATCCAAAGCCGCTCTCTGTACTCTGGTAACTGTGTGGAGACTGCAAAGATGGCCAGCGTTGTTAACATGAATAGCCTGTTGAATGGCAAGGACTCGCGCTGGCTGCAATTGGAGGTCTGTCGTGAATTCCAGCGAAACAAATGCTCCCGTCAGGATACCGAATGCAAATTTGCACATCCGCCGGCCAATGTGGAGGTGCAGAACGGCAAGGTCACCGCTTGCTACGACAGCATTAAGGTTAGTATCCATAGCCAAGTGAAAAAAAAACGTAAAAACGAACTCAAAGCCCCTACCAGCCAGTGTGTAAACTGTTTACCGAAATCTTTGCTTCTTATACGTGACTGTAGCTTATAAGCTTTTCCTTTTGATTTCAAATCATTGCTTCTGAAGGCTTACCACCCACTCCCCCACTCCGCCACTCCGCCACTCCGCCATTCTCCCCAAAGACACCACCCACACCCACCCATTTAGGTCTACTTCTACTATATACATACAAGTATAAGCCCATAACTGTGCGTGTGTGCTAAAATTTGTGAAAACAATAACTAAACAAGAACTACACATACTAGTACTATATACAGAACTGATCTTGTCGCGCTTTTGTTGTCTGTGCTTTTGTGCTTTCATTTTGTGCCTTACTTTTTGGTATCTCTGTGCTTTGTACCACATACATATCTACATACTATATAGTATAAACATGCCTACCTACTATACTATACCTAGCTGCTGAAGCTTAGAGGCTGACTTGCCTGCCTGCCTATCGAGTTGTGTGCGCTTTTTGAGCCTGAATGGAGAAACGCCCTGCGCCCACCACACCGCTCCAAGCGTGTGCTTTCAAGCTTTTTAATTGTTGTTAGTACTTGTAGTATTAGTGTTATTAGATATTAGAGGAGCGGGGTGCCGGGCTATGCTTGTCTGTCTCGCAGGGCCGCTTTCTGCTTTTTGGGTCGTAGAGAGCGAGTGCCTGAAGCAGAGCAGTTCCAATTCGGAGAAAAGCTTGACATATGGAACTGATATTTTATTTCTAAAATGTATTTACATAAGAACCATAATTAACGTGTGCGTGAAAACAATAATAATAATAATAATAATATTACAATAATTGTTATTGCACTTAAGTGAATTTAGGCTCGACACCGAATTGAAATGGAAAAATACAAGGTAAAGCTCATTTTGTTATTATTTACACTTATCCACTTAATTACAAATCCCTGGAAGAACCTGAAAAATAATCTAGAGACATTCCCCTCTATCCCAATGAATAATATAACATATAAGAAGAGATTCTTCTATTTGACTATTTGTGTGATTACGTGATTTAATTCTATAAATATCAAAAGGAATCAATAATTTAAAAAAACTTGCCTTTCTTCATTCAGTCAATAAAACAATCAATTACGAACATTCTTTTTCTCTCTTCCGCCGCTTTCAGAATTAACTTAATTAAATTAATTAGAACACAATTGATATTAGCATGTGTACTATATAAGTACTATATAAGTAATATAGAGTTTCTACGCGTCGGTAATTAGCAGTGGCTAATAAAATAATAGCAAGTGGACAACAAAGAAACATTCTTGAAATTTTAAACAAGGCGTTTTTTCTTGGCACTTTCAAAGCGGCTGACTTTTATTAACAAAATGGCAGTAAAAAGAAAAAGGCACGACTCTACTGCCCACATGGATCGGGCAATGGCAACCAGCTACTACGAGTACCTGGCAGCTGGGTAAAAAATTAAGTTGCCTGGTTGTGTTTGCTTTATTAAGCCTTTGTTTTTGTGCTCTGACAATGAAAACGACAAAAGCGCCAGCAACAACAGCAACAAAAGCAACAGAAGCAGCAACTATGTAAACTGACAACACAAAATGAGTATTTTCTATATATATAGTATACATATATATATATATATATGTATATATATGTATATATCTATGTATGTATATGTAGCGTAATATTTTGTTGACAAAATGCCGCCGTCGCCATTGCCGTCATCATCATCATCATCATCATCATCAGCAGCAGCAACAGCAGCATCATTATCGTCATCATCAAATTTGTGACAGCATAAAAAATTACGTTTGAAATTTTGTAGCCGCTTTTTAGGCGTCGTCTGGCTGCCTGTTGGCCTTCTGTTTGGTTAACAGTGCGGCATGTGGCGGCCTTTGTTATTTTTAACAAAAAACATATAAAAAAAAAAACAACAAAAAGAGAGAAAGGAACAAAAAGTCCAGCCTCAGTGGCACCGAAGTTGCGCATAGTTGTGCGTTTCCTACTCCCACTCTTGAGTCCTCCTCCCCCCACACCTCCTCCCATTCAAGTGGGTAAACAATAGTTAAAAATTATGTTTGTAAGTAGCTGTTGTTGCTGTTGCTGTTGCTGGCGGCTGTTTCGACTGTTACCAGCTTTTGTTTTTGTATTTCACGCCTGTCCTCACGCTCGGCCAACTTAATTGAGCCACTGCCAGGGACATCGTCCTCGACGCTTGTTTGTTTTGGCCACCGCCTTTGTTGGTCCTGTCATTACTCCACGTATACTCGTTGTTGTTGTGGGCCATTGTGAGCGAGCAGTAACGCTTTAATGAATGCACTTTAAGGCCTTTAAAATGATCACAGCCCGTGAGCATTTAAATCATTATCGTGATTATAATTATCAATGGGCTGCCTGCTCTACAGTTTAATATGTGCTCGTATTTGTATATTTTTGACCCAAAGCCGTCGCCGTCGCCGCCGCACCCTTGAAATCGCTCATAAGCCTTTGGCAATTACTTTGTGTGCCTTAAGCCCAAGTTGTGTGATGCGGCATGCTACACATCCGCATCCACATCCACATCCACATCGACAAACCCAGAATGACTCGAGCATTGAGCGACCCACATAAAGTTGGCAAAAAACGAGTCCTGCCGCTGTAACAGCTGCTGCGGCTCGCTGTAGCTGCTAAGGCTCTGAAATGGAAAGCCCAAGTGAAAGGACTTGCGCTCTCATACTCGGGCATACACCCACACACACACGCACACACATACACACAGACATGTTCATTTGCGTTGGCAAATAAACCTCAGACATTCATTGCCCACAAATTAATTGTGTTATCCTATTAATTAACTATGCAGTAAAGTTGCCAAGCAATTTGGTTGGCTGAGCGTGCACTTTTTCTCATCTTCCCCATGAAGTTCCAGTTCCAGTTTTTCTCTCGGCCCCAGTGCCAGTGGCAGGCGTGTCGCTCGAGTGTTTGTTGTTCCTGTTACTGTTGTAATTGTAGCCGAGTGTGTTTGTACTCATTTTCACCTCTTTTTTCCTCTGTTTCTGTGCGTACATACATACATACATACAGACGAGCACGTGTATGTATGTGTTTGACACACAAACAGCGTCCATGGACGCTGCCCCAAGCGGGGCAATGTGTTCGTTCGCTTTAAATGTATAACGAACTTAAACGTGCAAGTAACCAGCATAATGGCTGCCACCAGTTTAAGGACAGAGTGCCATCAAGGCAAGTGACGCTGCTCTGGGCGGACGTGAGGCCTACAACCTCAGAGGCATCCACACACACACACACACACACATATATACACATTTCAACTTTTCAAGTGTGTGTCGACTTTTTCCCCTCTGGCCACGGCACTTATATCCTGTTGGGCTGTAGACATTTTAAAAGGCAGATTATTGTGTGGACACGTCCATCCGCCCACTAAATAATTGGAGTTGATTTAGCCGGATGCATAGGCGTGATATTAGTTTGTTGTCACGCGTGCTCGGATTTGTATACTTAACCGGTCAATATTTTGTATACCAGTGGGTTACAATAATCGCGTGATAACACGATTCTCTTATATGTTATCCGTTGGCTTTCTGCTGCTTGATTTGTTCCCAAAAGAGAGCGCAAACTTTTGAATTTCGAAACTGTTGACTAAACTTGTTAACATTACTTTTTATACCTCGCTTCTCGTTTTGTGTGGGCTTATCGCTCTCTACGCTCCCTGAATCGGTGATAACGTACAAGTATATGGCATTATCCGCTGGCCCAAAAATGGCATCATTTCACTCCCCATTACATCCGAATTTAATTTCAACCATTCGGGTGGGGGGAAGTGAAATGCGTTTGGCAACTTTAAAAGCCACTAGAAAAAGAAAAGCCCTTGGTGAAAATCGCACAGCCACAACATAAAACATTTTCCGGTTTATAATTTTCTTGTCAACACAATTTTCACGCCATGCTTTGGCGCTGCTGCCCGCAGGAGGCCCTCCCCCCACCAGCACCACCCATTCATAGTGGCGCTGGTGTTGCCACTTTACCCGCTTGCCTGCCCGCGTTGCACGTCCTTTGGAGCGCGCACTCGCGCTTTTGCTACTTAACCAACTGTAAAGCTCTTGGCCATATTGTGTGGCACCTTATTTTTCTATTATATTTTCAACACTGCCGCTGCAACATATTTTCCATGCAACGGTTAGTGTTCAGCGCTCAGCGCTCGAGAAACAAAAGTCAAGTAGCGCCATGCAAATTATGAGGTTCGCGCACAGGAAAAAAAAAACAAAAACAAAATGGCGTGGTGAAAGAAAATGAAAATGGCAACTCTTCCGCCACAACTCTGGGCTAAACAATGCGCTGGCGGCCGTACAAAGCGCGCAACTTGCGCTCAGTTTTGTTTTAGTTTTTCTTCAATTTTTGTTTTTTTCTGTTCTGCTTTTTTTGTCCTCTTCTCCTCTGCCATATATTTTTGCGTTATTTATTTTATATTATTTTTTCAACGCTGCCACTGACGCTCGAATTTCCGGCTCCAAGTTGTGGCCAGCATTTTAAAGCCCCCAGGACCTTGTGACGGCATGCTGCGGAAATGCTCTGGTAATTAAACTTTAAAAGAGAACTTAAGTCAGTCAGTCCAACAGGCAGGCCGCACGTCATAGCTCTGGCGATTGTAACATGAAACTATCTTAGGAATATTTCAAGTAACGAAATACTTACATTCGTTAATGCCATCCAATTATTTTTAATTATTATAATCCTGCCTCACCCAGACACTTGACCAAGTCGCCAGGCCAAACCAATTTGCCATAAAAACAGAATAGAATCGAAATGTGGGGAGCATTCAAATCGATAATAAGTGCACAGAGTGACATAACAACATGGAATCAATTCAAATTATGCAGCAATAGAGAACACAAAAGAAACGAGCGACGAACGATGAACGACAAGCGCCGAGTGCCGAGCGACGAGGGCAGAGATATTTATCGTAAAAATAA